TATATATACACAAAATACTAAAGACTCAACCAAAAGCAGTTAAATCTAATCAACGAATTTAGTGAAGTTGCAGGATACAGAATGGGTATACAGAAATCTGTTGCTTCTATACAACAACAAATTACCTGAAAAGGAAATAAAGAAAACGATCCCATTTATAACGGCATCAAAAAAATAAAAAATCTAGAAATAAATTTAAATGAGGTGTAAAACTTGTACACTGAAAACTGTAAGGCATTAATATAAAAATTGAAGACAAATAAACGGAAAGATATCCTATGTTCATGGATTGGAATAATGTTAAAATGCCTATACTTCCAAAAGTAACCTACAGATTCAATGAATCCCTATCAAAATTCCAACGGCATTTTTCACAGAAACAGAATAATCCAAAAATTTGTAATGACCACAAAAGACCCCAAACAGTCAAAGCAATATTTAGAAAGAACAAAATGGAAGGCATCATGCTCCCTGAGTTCAAACTATATTACAAAGGTATTGTAATCAAAACAGTATGGTACTGGCATGAAAACAGATACATAGGTCAATGGAACAGAATAGCGAACCTATAAATAAACCCACATATATATGGTCAATTAAATTACCACAAAGGAATTAAGAATGTACAATGGGGATAATCCGGACAGTCTCTTCAATAAATGTCACTGAGAAAACTGGACAGCCACATGCAAAAGAATGAAAGCTGGACCACTGTCTTACACGAGACACAAAAATTAACTCAAAACAAATACTTGAACGTAAGACCTGAAACCATAAACACTTAGAAGAAAACATAGGCAGTAAGTTCCCTGACACTGGTTTTGGCAATGCTTTTTTTGATCTGATACCAAAAACAAACGCAACAAATGCAAAAATAAACAAGTGGAACTACATCAAACTAAAAAGCTTCTGCACAGCAAAGTAAACCAACAAAATGAAAAGATAACCTAATGAATGGGAGAAAATATTGCAAATCCTATATCTGACAAGGGATTAATATCCAAAATATATAAGGAACTTGTACAACTCAATTAAAAAAAATCTGATTTTAAAAAATGCACAGAAATCTGAATGGACATTTTTTAAAAAAGACATACAAGTTCATGAAAAGATGCTCAACATCACTAATCACCAGAGAAATTCAAATCAGAATCACAATGAAATATCACCTCCTACTTGTTAAAATTGCTATTATTAAAAAGACAAGAAATAACAAGTGTTGGCAAGAGTGTGGAGAAAAGGGAACCCTCATGCACTCCTGGTAGGAATGTAAATTGATGCAGCCCCTATGGGAAACAGTACGGAGGTTCCTCAAAAAATTAAAATAGAAGTACCATATGATTCAACAATTCCACTTCTGGGTATTTATCCAAAGTAAATAAAAATACTAACTTTAAAAGATATACGCATCCTTCTGTTCACTGCAACATTATTTACAATAGCCAAGATAAGGAAACAACCTAAGTAAACATCAATAGATGAATGCATAAAAAAAATGTGGTGTCTATATATGATAGAATATTATTCAGCCATAAAACAAGAAGAAAATCTTGCCATTTGTGACAACATGGGTGATAAACCTTGAGGGCACTATGCTAAGTGTAATAAGTCAGACAGAGAAAGACAAATACTGTATGATCTGACTTACATGTAGAATTAAAAAACAAAAAACAAACCAAGCTCATGGATAAAGAGAGATTGGTGGTTGTCAGAGGTGGCGGTTTGGGGACAGGTGAAATGGGTGAAGGGGGTCAAAGCGTACAAACTTCTAGTTATAAAATAAGTAAGTCATAGGATGTAATGTACAGCATGGTGACTATAGTTAATAGCGTACTGCATATTTGAAAAAATTATATTAAAGCCAGATCCTCATATTTATAATAGGATACAAAGTAAATGGATCAAAGACTTAAATGTTTATAGAAAAAATACGTCAAAGAAGAAAAAGTCATTGAGAAATTCAAACCTTGGGGTGGGAAAGGACTTTCTGTGATCCCAACTTCAGAAGTCATAAAAGAAAATAATGATAAATTCCATGACATTAAAAACACACACAAACAAATTAAACTCCACACAACAAAGGCCATTGTAAGTAAAGACAAATAACAAATTGGGGGGAAAATTTGAAACTCATATCACAGACACAGATATAACTGACCTAATATATGAAGAATTCCTACAAATTGGTCATAGACTAACAACCAAATAGCAAAATGGAGAACAGAGTAGAATACAGAGATTACAGAAAAGGAAAAACATCTCTAAATCATAGGAAAAAATGGTCAACTTCATTGGCAATAAGATAAATACAACTAAAATTATACTACATTACTTTCTGCTTGTAAAGTGGCAAAGATCCATTTTGATAATACTGTATTGGCAAAGGGAATGGAGAAATAAGTATTATATATAGGAGTGGAAATTACTAGTACTCTGTAGGGCAATTTTGCAGTATTTGTCAAAAATTACAAATGTGCATACCACTTTGAGAATGTATCCAAAAAATATACTCACATTTGGGTAAAATATTTTTAAAAGTTATTCACTGTAGCACTGAAGGCAAACAAGGGTGGGCATTTTAGGAAAGATTAGAATGAAAATATCCATCAAAAGGAGTCTTATATAAATAAATTATGGTACATGCATAAACCAAATATTTTGCGACTATAAAGAATGAGTGCTTTATATATCAACATGGAAATCTCTCAAAACCATGCCATTTAGCTAAAAAAAAAAAAAGCAACGTAATAGTATGCTACCATCTGTGTAAAAAAGAAGGAATATAAAATATTACACGTACACATTTGTATATGCAAAAAATATCTCTATAGTTTGAATTCTATACATGTTTGTATGAATTCTATACATAAACACCCAAATGAACAATTCTGGATACCAGTGAGAAGAAAAACTAAGCTGCAAGTGGGAAATAAGTGGCAGGGAGACTTTTCCCTTATACTTTTTTCCCTTATACCAAGTGAATATATGAGTGATTGAAAAAATTGAGTTAAAATAGTTTTCTAATAAGCTTGTTTATTTCAAAGGATCTTTCATCTTTATCTTAAAACTTGACTTTTATCTAAAGGTGTATTAGTGGTATATAGGTAGATAAAACAAATTATTTACAAACAGTATGATGAACATGAGAGAATATTTGTACTATCCTTAAAGTCTTAATAATTTTGAGAACCAATTTGCTTTATTTTGACTTCAGTAGCAGATACACACTATAAAATAATCTAGGAGACGCATCCTTTAAATTAAAAACTTGCTTTTTAATAATGTGCACTGTATCACAGAATTTATTTGAAATGGGAACAAGTAAATTTATTGGCTTATATTTACAAATAACGTGAATGTGTATCTAACCCTATCCTGACAGAAGATAGGAAATCCAGTTTTTAGATAAAGAATATCAGTGAGGCTCATGACTCCAGGACACAGACACAGGAGGCAAACATGAGGACTGGGGCTGATATACCTAATAAACTGGATAACCTAGCTAAGCAGATGTCCAGACATAGTCAAAGCTGCCACTTGACTTCTAAAAACAAAAAAGTTCTTGGAAATTAAGTAGAAGGAGTGGGCAAAAAAGCAAAGAAATATTCTGGAAAGAGAAAATAAAGAGAGCAACAAGAAGTGGCATCATCATGCAGTTTCAGAATATCAAAGATAAAAGTTATGAAGGATCGGAAATTAAAATGGCACTGGACATTTGTATAGCAACAGCCTAGACATTGAAAATAGGGGAATGCCTTCAAAATTCTGAGTGGAAAACCATTTCAACTTAGACTCTGAACTGTAGTAATTATCAAGCATGAGGGTATATTTTGCAGATTTTAAAAAATGTCTCAAAAGCATGTTGTGGCATTTTGTATTTTCCTAAAATGTCCATAGCAGTATTTCTGGTCCTATATGCTCTTCTAGAACCTTGCCACTCCATTATCAAAAAGAAAAGCCTATTTTCCTCCCCTTGAATCTAATCAAGACTGCAATTGGCTCAAAAAATCAAAGGTAGCAGAAGTGAATGACTAGCAGCTAAGTCATTATGACTTTCTCATAGCTCTCTCTCAAGATGCTCACCGTAGGAACCCAGCCATTATGCTGTGAGGAAACCCAAGCCACATAAAGGCCACATCTAGGTATTCTAGCTGACATCCCAGGTAAGGCCTCTTATGAGAGCCCACTGATGATGAGCAGAACAGAAAAGAAAGAACTCTTTCTAATGACCCCTTCCTGAATTGAAGATTAGGGAGCAAAATACATGTATTCATTGTTTTAAGCCATAATTTTGTGGATAATTTGTTATTAAGCCTTAATAACCAGAAGAGATTTTAATTCCTGGAAGTGGAATACTGCTATGACAAAAAAAAAATAAGTAAATAAAATCTAAAACATGGGAGTGGCTTCAGGACTGACCAGAGGTGAAAGCTAGATGTACCCTCAGAAGAGTGTGCAAGACTGAAGGCCCTCAAAAAAAGTGTTAACAAAATTAAAAAGATCTAAGAAAACAATACCAATGGGAAATGGAAGTAATGATAAACTCCAGAAAAAAAGCATAAAGTTATACCACAGGGAAATGTAATCATGATAAAATACCACAGGGGATTTTTTGGGTCAAAGGAATGAAAACACCAAACACGTAAACGAAAATCATGATATAGTTTCCCTGAGATGATGCAGGGAAAGGAAGGTTTGTGAAAAATAACTAAAATCCTTGTCAATCACAATAGGAGGTCAATAGATATTATCTAAAAATGAAAGGATCAAGAGATAGCAGTCTGTATATATTGTTTAGAAAGATGAAGATAAATATTAGAGAGGCAGCTAAAAGAAGAAAAGACAGTTGCTTCTGAAGTATGAATGTATTTTTGTAAAGGTGGGGATGTAGAAAGCAGAAGAGTGCCTTTTAACATCATTTGAATTTTTAAGCTATATTTTGATTCCTTTGATTAAAATAAATAAAAGTAAATATACACAAACATTTTTGTTATACTTACTACGGAAATGCTGCTGAAGTAGGAGCTAAAACTGGAGGATTCTTCCAAAACTCATCCAATAGACTCTGAATAATTTTTCCAAGATCTGAGTGCATTGTAAACTGAAAGTAACAGTAATACAGGATGATCAAAATCACTTTCAAAAAAAGATTATAAAGTCTCATTAGGATAACTTCACTCTAAATCTTAACATGAAATTCACTTTGCAAGTCAAAATTAAATGAAACGCAAATGAACATATTAGCTAGCAATCTACAACTTACATTTTCTAATAAAATCAATAACATAAATCAGATTAAAAGTGTAATCAATAATGGAGCTGAAATATTTCCCCACTTCACTATAATCCAATAATGTGAAGGTTCAATGGTAAATACTAAGTCCATTAAGTTACAGTCCTTCATGTTAATCAATCATATACATACCCAGAGAACTTTAAGGGATATTTGAATTTTACCTCTTCCTAACAACTACGGAAGAACTATTGTGAACCAAAGTTCTAACATCAATAGGTCCTCACCACTGAAAAACCACCTTCAAATCAGTACTATCTATTGTACACAGTGAAATTTTTTTGAAAATTACTGATTCCAAAATGAGATTTTAAAAGCATTTTAGATTTCTAAAATACTTAGTAGAAAAGTTATATTGCTCAGAAATAAATATACCATAAACATACGTTGTTTACTAATGGAGAGGTAACATACACTCCTTGTTTATCCATTAAATGATGCCGTATAGGTGGATAAACACTGATCACCGGTTTTTCCTGAGGAAATTGTGGAGGGAGCAATCTGGTAAAGGTAGAACAGATGAAAAACAAAGGCAACAAATGTTACATTATATAGTCATAATCCTAAAACAAAGGTAAAAGCAAATTAATTGTCCTACTTTCATTTGGATTAATTATTCAGTAATAAGTGCTCTATTACAGTTGCTGAGTTGATTGAAAATATACAAAAACGTTGATTGAAAATATACAAAAAGATGCACTGTGGCAACAAGATTATAAAGAAATTCCCATACAGTAAAACCTTCTTAATATGGACTATGGAAACCCTGAATTACAGAATATTCTTCACACCATGTCAATTAACTGCTTTCAAACACAGTATACCAAGCTATACAAAATCTCAGCTAAAAATTAAGTCAGGCATTTGTAGCAGGTGAGCCATATTAACTCAGTCTGGCTATTTATTGGACCACAGGTCTGGCCACATAATTTTCTTGTGGTTTTCCTACTTCTAAAATGCTGCCAGGAATTATTTCACTATCAATTAAATTTTTGAAGAGTAAGTAGATAAAATGGAAAGTATTAGAATTGAAACACTGTAGCTATCACAATGCTTAGGTCTATATGGCTCTTTTCTAAATGTCCCAATTAACACATATCTCCAACCAAGATCAATCACATGATTTCAAATAAAGAACAGTAAATTCTCAATACAAAAAAAAAAAGTGAAAATCTTAACCTTTTTTGAACTATTACAAATTTAAAATTAGAGAGTGAAGTCTTTTAAAAAATGGGATTTTACTGGCTATAGAAATGTTTTCTAAATCTCCTCTAATAGAAGAATATGTCCCTTTAAATTGCTTCTCTGTTCCCCTGTTGGCTCAGAAAACTATTTGTTGGCAGCAATGCCAAGAAGAAAACAGGGTCCTTGTTGGTTTCTCCTACTTACCTCTACCTAGGGCATTTGAAGAGAGATGAAACTACTTCATTTATATAGTTGAAGATGTTAAACTAGTTTGGTAAAAGGCAATGAATAGCCTTTGGAGCCCCACCAATCTTGACTACGCTATTCACATGTGTCTATAATTTGCCCCAATTTGCAAGACTATTATTCAAAAAGACTATTATTCAAACTATAGGATTCAAAAAGTTTCTATATACCAAGATAACATAGCATAATGCTAGGCACTGTTATGTACTCGTGCTTTAATTCACTCATTCAACCAGGATGTAATAATGCCTTCTATGTGCAGTCACTATGCTAGGGGATGAGGATTTGAAGATGAATAAGCCATGGTTCCCGTCTTCAAGTTAGTTACCTTCTGAGCTGGCCCAAACATTGGTTCTAGCAGCCACCCACATAATGCAATCTGAGGTAAAAATTGAATTCTCTCATATTAAACACTAATAATTGCACGTCAGGTTGAATGGGTACTTCAGCAATCACTTTGTCAAACGTTTCCTCTTTATAACTGAATAACCTCATGACTATATTTTTTTTCTTTAATCAGATCAAATTCAGCCTTTGAACTTTCTGGTTGATGTATATGTTTCTGAAAACCAGAATACTTTAACTTCTTTCTGATGTAAAGGTGAATATATCTCTAATGGTTTTCCATACACGGTCCCTTTGTTGGTTTGTCATTATTATTCTTACTCTTTCAGCCTACCTCCAGCTAAGACTTTAGTGCAAATCAATGAAATTGATTAAAGTACCAATGATTATTATTACATCTTTTTATTGCATTTCCTTCAACAGTTTCTTTCTTACACAATACACATTACAATGATGTCTTCACAAAATTTTTATTTCACAAAATTGTGTAACAAATTATATAGGGACTATCTGAAATAAGTTCACTTTAAACAGTTTACTTCTGATAATAACTAAGAAAAAAATAATAAAAATATTTTTTAAGGCCTATTACATGAAAAAATAGGATACAATTCTACTCACATATTAATGTTAATTGTCAAGTTGTTTATGGTGCATGGCAACCTGTATTCCACATCTTTCTGTATTTCAGCTATACTGTAGGAGAAAATTTGAGAAAAAAATTTACCCAAAATTATAAAACTTGTAATGTTAAAAAAAAAGTTAAACGTTTTTACAGCCTACTGAAACTCCTTTTAGTTTTAATCACAGAACCTAGATATCCAATATAATTTGAATCTTGAGGGGAAAATGATCAAAGAAAGGTTGATCAAATAAGAGGCAACAATATCCTGAGATATCCAAGTGTGTGTGGGAGGGGAGCAGATGCTGAAGGAAAGAAGCAAAGAATAACTGGTACTAATGTAGACTGACTTTCTATCACTTTATCTGACTCATCTTCAGTAGAAGCAATTGTGAGCCCACTAGTTAATAGGTCAGCAAGACATCTGGGTTCTGACTATAACTCTGCCACTAACCAGCTGTGTAATCTGGGTCTTAACAGCTTAAGCTTAAAAGTCTGGATGAGATGTCTCCTACAGTCTTATGATGGAGAGTATTTCCAAAAACAAATACTACTCTTTTCCTAAGTAAGCCAGCTTTATTCTGAGTTTCAGTGTTCTGGTCTTTCTTGCAGCTAGTTGTTGCTATGAACTTAAGTTCCAGCCAATATGATATAGGGAAGCTGTGAGGTAAAATTTCCAGAAAAGCACATAAAGAGGAACACAAAAACTGGTATGAGTTCTTTTGTCCTTCCTACCTGGACCTGATAACTGGACTTCTAACAGCTTTGCAAGACCATGGGTGACACTGAGAACCGAAGCCAGGCACAAAGGAGAACTAAGCAGAAAGAAATAGCTTGGGTCCTTGATGACCATGCGATTGTTAAACTGAATGTAGAGAAAAACAAAATTTTATCTTGTTTAAATCTATTTTGGAAGAATTTGTTACTAGCAACTGGATATAATTGCCAACTACTATAAGTCTCTTATACTTTAACATTCTACATTCAGAATTTTATTTTATTGTTAACTGGAGGCATACATTATTACAATTGTAATTTACCAACCAAATTTGGGGGGTGGGAGGCTCACTTGGAATGCTAACTAACATTCATAATATTTTCAAAGGGAAAAATTTTAGTATTAATGAGTTATAGTTAAAAGGAAGCTTAACATTCAAATGGATATAAACTTTTTCAAGCATGAATACCTTTGAAAGATCTAGCATTTACATAATAATTTACTTCTTGTTTTTTTGGTTGCTTCAAGGAATAGCTTTAGAAACCCTCTTATTTCCTCCTTTTTAGGACTATTAAATTTTTTGGTCTTCTGATAAAAACCTAGCCTCTAGAATATGTAAATTTTGGGTATCTTGAAAAAGTCAAAAGTATTGGGCTAGAGTTATAGAGAAATCATAGATGTTGATAAGCTTTCTCCTCTGACATCCATGGAATGGGGTTTTATGACTGAGGAGAAGAAACAGCTAAAAGACTCAATAAAATATTCAATATTAGGACTTATACAATTTTTATGCAAATTTCTCTTTGGGGTTCAAGTATGAACTAGGATACTGACAGCCTCCTCAGTTGTTTGAACACCATGCAATCAGTAAAGTTTTTAAGTTTTTTATTCCTCTATGTTATCTTAGAATCCTAAGGTGTCATTGCTTCAAGGGAATACTAGTCAAAAAAGCATCTACCAGCTCAAAGCCAAGTGGATCATCTCAGTGATTAAGAGCATACCTCTTAAGTTAGGCTTCCTGGGCTCTACCATTTACCTGTTTGATCATGGGCAAGTTACTTAACCAGTCTAAGCCTTATCTCTCAAATGGGAAATAGGATGTTACAAATTAACTATCTACCTAAAAGAGTTATCAGATTAAGTGAGATAATGCACAAGAATATAAAAATATTGGGTTGTCGGAAAAATCATGACGTATTTTTTCTGTTTTTTGTTGCAAAAATGCGTCATGACTTTTCCGACAACCCAATAACTCAAGCTCTCATATTCCCAAGATAACTACAGCCAACATATTGGTGTATACCCTCGTGGATCAAAAAAGGGGCTCTATGGAAAGTAACCTCCCAGGGTGATCTGATCATAAATTCATAACTCAGCAGGTCACGTGGGTGGTCACACCCTAGTTATCAGCTTCTTTACTAAAAGGCTTATCTTTGCCTTAAGCAAGCCCTGACCCAGTGTTTCTGTATTTAGGTTAACACACCTTTGCAAGGCCTCCTTTAATACCCCTCAAGAGAGCATATAATCTTAATTACTGTGTAATCCCATCCTGCATTGCTTCCTCCCACTTTCATGTAATCTTTCTTACATTCCCTCCTTAATTTCAAATGCGTAAAATAAACTGCAAAACTGATATTCTCTGGAGCATTTGAGGTCTTGCTCCCTGGCTTACGTTGTCAGTTTGGTTCAAATAAACTCTTATAAAAATTCTCTGCAGGTTTGGACATTTGTTGACACCTTCTAATCTTTCTATATTCACAGTCTTATTTAAAACAAAAATAATTATACTGCATATACAATTTTGTAACTTGCTCTTTTTCCACTCAGTAATTTATTGTGATTATCTTTCTAAACCAGTAAATGTTATTTTACAATATGTTTTTTAATGGCAGCATAATATTCTAGTATATTGTTCAACCCATTCTCTACTTTTAGATATTTGAATTGTTTTCCAATTTTTACTACCGTAAACCATGCTCTGATAAACATTCTTACAGCCAAATCTTTATGTTGACAGGCAATACTACTTTGGATATAAATACACACACACACACACACACACACACACACACACACACACACACTTTAAAGTAATACTGTAATCACACCACAAGAGAAAATTTAAATGATCTGCCTCTAGTAATTTTACTTTCTAGTTTCTCTGAGAGAAGTGAGTCACTATGATTTTACCTCAGTGGCTCTGAATCTGTTTGGAACTAAAGAAAGCTGAAACAGATAACTTTGTTAGTCAAAATGTGGGATTAACTGGAATCCTCATTTCTCTGATAGTCCCTAAAACTGTAAACAAATAGACCTTGAAATGCATAAGAGGCACCAGTTATGGTTAAAAGATTCCCTTTGTAGAATAATAATTTATCTCCTACTTTATATGTTGTGTAAGCTTGGATTTCATTAAGTAGGACTTGGTTCAACTGAACAACTACCATATAGCCAGCTTCTTGCAAGGAAATGAAAATACAGAGATGAATATAACATGGTCTTTGCTTTGAAGGTATACATGGCATGAAGAGAAAGTCAAGTAACTAAAAATAGATCAATTCAAGATACCAATACCATGCATTTCCCAGTGTTGGGTAACCTAAGGACTGCTTTTGGTGAACCTTGCAAATAAAGGATTCACATGTAGATAAAGACTGTAGAAGAAGAATAGATAACTTCCCTTTCTCATCTAAGTCTCCAGGAAATATCAGAATAGACTTTTAAAAAAGCAAATCTAGAGCAGTGCAAGAAGGCAAATAGTACCATAAGCAGACAAGAAATTTAGAGGAATCCCTGAAAGATAAAAAAGATGGGATTAGATTTAAGGAAAAAGGAAAGAAAAAGATAGTAAGCACAGGAACTATGACAATCCAAAATATAGCACCGATGCAAAGTATGAGCAGTTTGAAGGTCCTCCAAGTTCTGAACCTAGTCGATGCAAACCAAGAGTGGGAGGGCAGAGCACGGGCACTTCACAGGGTACTGAATGGGGAGACATGGGTAACAGCACGTAGGCTAAAGCACTCTCCCCTTTGCCCTGCCTGTTCAAACCAGTAAACAGCAGTCATATCTGCACCTGGAATAACAAACACAGTGAGGTAGCCTTGGAGATAGCAGTGCCTTAGGGAGCTACTAACTCCCAGGAAGCTGCCATTTCTGACAACTATCAGTTTATCTCATATTGGAGCAAGTCATTCTTTTTCATTCATCATTAGAGGCAGGCTGTGATAAACAGTTAAGTATCCAGGAACAAGTCAACAAGGAATCTCAAATACAGAAATGAACACATCAAAATGGTTTGAGCAAAATAAAACCATGCAAGGCATGCACCAAACTCAATAAGCCCAAAACACAAAATTCAAGGAAACAGAATTAGCTGAGCAGAGACTACAAATATGTGTAATTAAAACCTCAGAGAAACACACACACACACACACACACACACACACAGATAGTTGATATGAAAATGAAAAATTAAGAAACTGGGAATTTAAAACAGCTGAAATAAATGGTTCAGTGCTCTGTTTGGAAAATGCTTCATATTATATATATGCTTCTCTTGGACAATACTGATGCACTTTAGCATATTAAAGACTTTGAGAACTTCTAAAGTAAAGCACTTGATTTTCTTTGTTTTCTAAATCTGTTTAACATGGACCACTTATTTCAGTATTTTTTGAACAGTGTTCTTGTAGAACACACAGGAAAATGAGAAATGTGTTAAGAGCTATAGGAACACAGAAGAAAACACCTAACCTAAACGGGCAGGAGTGGTGGGGTCTGCTGAGAAAAAAAAAAAATATCTGAGCTACATTTAAAAGTCCAGTAAGAGTTAACACTCAGGGAAATAAAGTGGACATTCCAGACAGAGGAAACACCGCTAGAAAAGCTTCAGATATGAAATAACACCAGTCTCCAATGTCTCCATATCTTTTGCCATTAAAGAAACTTTACATCCTCTGTCTGTCGACACCTTTTCCATCAGTCACATTCACCATCTTCTGTGACAACCAGGCATTAAGCTACAGAGGGTGGACTTTTCTGGGCAAGGGTTAGGAAACTACTGAAAGGACTAACATGGTCAAATTTGAATTTTAGAAAGATTACTCTGGCAGCCATGTGGAAGAAAAAATTAAGGGAAGACTGGAGGCAGACAGAACAGAACCCAGCAGTAGTAGGGATAGAAGACTGAGTGGAAACAGGATGACCAAGTGTTTGGCTTATTAGTTGAGCAGACAGTAGAGGCAGCTTGGAAGGAGTTCAGAGATAGGAGAGGAGGGGTTCAAGTGGCTGGATTCAACAATGGAGAAATGACTGCCTGTGTGGTAACTTTTTTTTTTAATAAGTATGGACTGA